TGAAGGATATAGTTGGTGAATCTAGAGTATACACAAATAAAAAATAGAGGAGCTTCAGAAAGTGATAGAAAATGGAAATCATAAATGCCCAACAAAGGAAAGAACTGGATTCCTTGAAACAGAGTCAAATAGATGTCATGGAGATTAAAAATTCTATTGAAAATTTATGCAACAGAATCAACAAATGTGAGGACAGACTATCAAACCTAAAAGACAGATTTTCAGTTTGTGATCATCACATGAAAGGCCCCTTAAAAATAGCAAAGGGCCATGCAAAAAAATCAGTCCAGGACTCGGGATATAGTTCAGCGGTACAGCACCTGCATGGCAAGCACAAGATCCTGAGTTTGATACCCGGTACCCTAAAAAAACAAACAAAAATGCATTTTATCAGAAAAAATCAATACAAATGTTGCTAGATAATGCAAAGAAGAATAACATAAGATTGACTGGAATCAATGAAAACATAAGAAGATAGTATAAATGCATAAAAAAATCAGTTCACAGAACTAATGGTAGAAATCTTCCCAATCTTGAAAAAAGAATTGGACATACAAATTAGTGAGGCATATAGAACTCCAATAAGCAATGATCAGAAAATACTACACTAAGGCATATAATAGGATTCCAACAAAGGAACAATATTAAAAGTTGTTTAAGAAAAGAAACAAGTCACCTATAAAGGAAACCCATCAGAATGACAACTGACTTCTCAATATAAACACAGTAGTCAAAGAGAGCTTGAAATGAAGTATTTCAATCCCTAAAAGAAAATAACCTCTTACCAAGATTGATGTACCCTGAAAAATTATCTTTCCAAATTAAAGGAGATACAAGATACCTTCAGGATAAAGAATACCTGAAGCAATTCATGACCACGAAACCAGCACTCCAAAAAGTTCTGAAACCTTTTTATTATTACCAAACTGTCATGATAAAAACAGCATGGTCCTGGCAAAAAGACAAATTTGAGAATCAGTGAAACAGACTAGAAGATGCAGGAATAACTCCAAACACATGAAGCTACTTAAGCTTTGACAAATGGGCCAAATACTGTCCCTGGAAAACTGTAATTCATATGTACCTAGGATCTGTTCATTTCTTATATGTATTACATCTTATTAGAATATAGGTCTTACAGTAGCTATTGATGACCTTCTGGATTTTTGTAGGATTTCACCATTTTCATTCCTAATTGCATTGATTTGAGTCTTCCTTTCCTTTTTTTGATAAGATTGGCTAAAGGTTTTTCTATTTTATTAATCTTCTGAAGAACCAAATCTTTGATTCATTGATTGTTTTTGATTGCTCTCTTAGCCTCCTTTATTCTAATTTTGCTCTAATCTTTATAACTGCTTGTATAAGCTTTGGGCTTAACTCATTCTTCGTTCTGGAAGCCTGTGGTCAACATTAGGTCATTTATGTGAGCTCACTCTAATTTCAGTGTTGTTTCAATTTGCATTTCTTAAATGACCAGTGGTGTTGAACATTTTTTCGTTCAATTATTTGCATTTCATTTCAGGTACTCATTTTGGATTGAGTATTTAAATTTGGAGGTCTGAGTTTTTTTTTTGTTGTTGTTGTTGTTTTTTAGTTTTAGTTTTTAGTTTTTAGTTTTTTTTAGTTCTTGATATGTATTCTAGTCCTTTGAGGAAGAGCTAGAAAAAAATTTTCCTATTCTGTGGGTTGTCTCTTCACTTTGTTTGTGGGTTCGTTTGCTGTGTAAAAACTTTTTAATAAGATGAAATCAGTTATTCTTTGTGATACTTCCTGTGGAATCAGGATTTTGTTTATAAAAAGCCTTTGCCTGTGCTTGTATCTTCAAGAGTTCTACCTATTACGTCTTCCAGTAGATTTAATGTTTTCATTTTAATGTTTAGATCTTTGATTCATTTTGATCTTAGTTTAGGGTGTGGTAAGAAATATGGGTCCACTTTTAAACTTTACCATGTGGAAATCCAGTTTTTCAGCACCATTTACTATAAGCATTTCTAGGCAAATGAATACACTTTGAGACTATACTTTTAAGTGAAATAAATCAGACAAGTGTTTAAATATTGCATTGTTTCTCTTGTGTGAAAAACTAAAATGTAAAGAAGGACAAAAATGTTTGATTGATACTGGAAACTAAGAAACAATGCTCAAATGGGAAGGGAAATGAGGAGAGGAAGTGGAAGGAAAGGAAGAGAAAAGTTTCAAAAAGAATAGAAGGAGAAAAATGGAAATGAAGCTTTTGCAAATGAGGGAAAGAAGGTTTAAAAGGAAGGGAGAGGAATGTGGGGGAAAGAATCAAGCTATATTATGTATAAGTACAAATTCCCTAATGAATGCAATCATTGTATATATCAAAAGAGTACCAGTAAAGTTAATTTAAATAAAAAAGGACTACAAATTTTTAAAATTATTACCCTAGGTCAGGGGACATAGCTCAGTGATAAAGTGCTGGTGTAGCACGCCCTGAGTTCAATGTCTAGTATCAACTAAATAAAAAAAAATTGTAAAAAACAAGCTTTGTCTTATATAAATGCTGCTTTTACTGTACTGTAACAACTCCTGTTGTTACTAGATGACTCATTAATAGAAATGAAAATACCTAGTTAATAAAAATTATTAACTAGGATAGTAAAGAAACTTTTGGACAGAAGGATTTATTAAATTTGGAAAATGTTTCATAGAGGTCACAGAATGAGCAAAAGTCTAAGGCCCTTAAGGCTATTAGCTGAGAATCTGTGATGATGGGCATATGGCATAGAATCTGCTATCCTACCGTTCAATATATTTCCTGAAAGCAAACTGCAGGGCAGATCACTGGGATAGTATGCTAGAGATTCAGCCCAGCCCATCAATTCAAGCAGAGACATCCAGAAAAATGTAGACCCCATGTCCCAGGATGAAATGAATACACTGATTTATTGGCCAGAATCTACATGCATCTGCGCATTCAATACATAGAACACATGAAAAGCCACCAAAGAATAGAAGTAACAGTGAATGCTCCTCACAATGCTAGCGAATCCTTTGTATAATGTACTCTTTCTATTTTCAACTTGATACTTTTGTAGATCAAGGTCTTGCTTCCCAGAACCAGGGACAAAACAACTCCGCAGTGGACACTGAAGCCTTCCACTGCAGCTATGACTTTGATCTGATTGTACTGGGCTCTTCATGCTGTTGCAACAGCTTTGCTATAGGAAATGTTACTACACTAATAGCGCGGTAAACTGTGGTCATAATGAAGAGCTAGGATATCTACCATGTAACTTGGGCAGGAAAGAATAAATGTAGAACTCAAGATACTTACTAGGGCACTTAATGCCCTAAAAATAATATTGAATAGGCCAGTACAAGACACTAGGAAGTCTCATTCATCAGAGATGAAAGAAGAGTTAGCACCTCTAGTAAGAAATCTAAGTCTACTCAGGCACTAACTGGAGGTGAGGAAAATCTAAAATGAATGTAATGAAGGAAGATTACTAAAATCAATTACATCCCCAGGATCACAGGCAATTTACTCCACCAAACCTCTTTACAGCAGTCTTCAAGACATTTCAATCACACACTGCAATAAAGGAACGAAGATACAGTTCAGGGAAATTAACAGGGGGCATGAGTAGGTCCAAGCAGTGCAAAGGATAGATGTGATTGTTTTGCACCCACGTTGTAGTCCATTGGACCACTTCTGATTACAGTGTCACATGGAGCAGACAGTTTTACATAAGCTGAGATTGATACTGCTGAGATTTACAGAAAGCATGTACTGGGAATCTCTCACTTTATCTGCAGCAGATCCTTCTCTACAAGGAAAGGAGCAGAATTGGAGTTTACAGTTACTGTCCTTCATGACAACCTTCAATTAGGGGAAACAGATCAGCAAAATCTCTTGTGTTTCAGAAGCATAATTTAGAAAAGCATTCCAGGGGGCTGGGGATTTAGCTCAGCGGCATAAGCACCTGCCTTGCAAGCAGGCAGTCGTGAGTTCAATCCCTGGTACCGATAAAAACGAAAAAGACAAAAAAAAAAAAAAAAAAAAAGAAAAGCATTCCATAGACTTCTCAGTAGCCACAAAGAATGAGCCCATGGTGTTTACAAAAGTCATTTTCCCCTGCTTTTTACTCCCTCAAGTCTCACTCTTACCACCTAGGATGACCCCCAAAGGTAACTGCTGGTACCTAAGGCACCTAAGTCATTTTCCTCAAGCTTTGCTTATTTATTTATTATTGTCTTTTTGAGACAAGCGTTCGCTATTCAGTTCAGGCTGTCTTTGAGTTCACTTTGTAGCCCAAGCTGGTCTCAAACTCTCAATGATCCTCCTGCCTCAGCTTCTCAAGTGCTGGGATAATAAGAGTGTGCTACTACGCCTGGTTTCCAGTTTTTCTTTTATAATAACCCAAACTATGGTGTCCAGTAATCTCTATCACAGTAAGACGCAAAAAAGCATTCATAAGGATCCACAGTGATGACATTTCCAGTGTCTTACTGTGATCAGAGTCAGGTATTTATGTACTCAGTGTTTTTATCTTTGAAATGTTTTATCATAACAGAAAGGTGGCTCAGCAGGTCAGAGTCAGCGCAAGCAAGGGAAGGCTAACACCAATAACGTGGTTCCATTCTCCCTCTTCCTAACCAAGGCACCACTTCAAGCTACACAGACCACTCTTTCTCCACTCACATAAAAATAGAGGTTTGTGGGATAGTTCTCTTTTCTAAAACCTTTGCCCAAACGGTTGCAAACAATACTTGTAGGAAAAATGAGAAATGAGACTTTTGAAGGGCTTTATCAACTTTACTGTTTTCTTTTACAAGAAATCTCCTATAAGCCCCGTCCCCAACATACCTTGTTTTCGAGCTGTCTGCATGGTGTAAGGGCTGTGTATCCGTGGCCTTCTTCATATAACACCTCTTAAAAAGCAATCCTAAACTCACCTGATTTAAGAAATGTATTCTTTTGCAAAACTATAAGGGCTCCTTGGGAAATAAGGACAATTCCCCTCTAGTCTTACCTGACTCACACGCTGGCATTTTAGGATTCCACATGCCGTCTGCTTGGCAAGAACTCCTTCCATCAGCAGAAATAGGATAATAGCCTTCATCACACATGTAGAAAATATAATCTTCATAGGCATAGACACAGACACCAGTAAAGTCTCTCCTTTCATTTATGATTCTCATTTTCTCCATATTTGGTGTTGGGCAACACACTCCTGACAGATAAAATGTGATCATTGGGTTTAAGAAAATCACCAAAGGGTTGGGGATTTAGCACAATGGCTCAGGCACTTGCCTGGTAAGCGCAAGGTTATGAGTATGATCCCGGTACCAAACAAACAAACAAACAAAAAAAATGCAATAAGAAAATCAGCAAAGAAACACATCTATGGCTAAACCCTTACTCTAACTTATGAAAGATAGCATTAATCAATCTATAGAAATAAAGAGTGGTAGTTACAAAGATTAAGGCAAAGAGGGAAATGGGGAGATGCTGATAGATATATACTATCTATTGTGCTATTATTGCTGACAGTTAAGTTAGATAAAAATTATTAGGCAGTCACAGAGGGATCAAGCCTTCCAAAGAATCAGTGCAATAGAGGAGACACACCAAGACTGTGACTGGGGGAAAATCTGAAGGAAGCCAGGCCTCAAGATGGAGAAGCAATAGCTAGGCCTGCAGGCTTTCTCAGAGTTTAAACAACAGCATAGTTTTTAATTATACTGCAATTAGCACTATCTCGTCTAGTGGACCCAGATAGGCATCAGATACATATGTGGTTGACCAGAAAAGCTGGACCCATACTCCCATCCCTTTCCAAAAATGACTTAGCTCTTTCTATGTCAGAAGTTATGTGACTGGATGTGGTGGCACACACTTATAATCCCAGCACTCAGAATGCTGAGGCAAAGAATCACCGTGAGTTCAAGGTTAGCCTGGGTTACATAAGCAAGCTCAAAGTCAACCTGAACTGCATAATGAGATCCTGTCTCAAAAGGAGGAGGAGGAGAAAGAGGAGGAATAGGAGGGAGAGGAGGAGAAAGAGAAGTAGTTATGAATAAGCTAAAGCTAATGAAACATACCATATACTCTTGTTATGTGCCTCATTTCCAAATTACAATAACGAAATAAATGATCCCTATTGGATCAATATTAGCTAAGAGACTATACTTACAATCCCATAAGTTGATTTTAGTTTGATCCATAGCTATCCATGTTGTTCTTAGTTGTAATTTTTCTCTATAAAAATCCTTGGACAAAAAGCCTCAGTACTAATCCACCTTCAAGATTCCTCCTTCTCTCAGGAGCTTTCTCTCAATAAACCTCCCCAACTCTTAACCTCTTTTATTCTTGAAATCCATCATCCTTTGATATCAAGAGACCTTAGTTCAACTCGTCTGACATCCAACAGGTTGAAAGTTATCTACCCATCACAGTGCAAGATGAATAAATTACAGAAATCTGCTGTGCAACAGTGTCCTGAGTTAATAGCTACAGAATTACACACTGAAAGGGTATATCCATTTTAAAAGTCTTTCAGTGTGCAAGGATTGAAATAGCAGTGACCACATTCTCTGAGAATGTAATAAAAACCTTGATTAGAATTTCTGGATAGATGGGCATAACCAAATCCAAATTATAATAATGAAATAAAAGATTACTCCTTCAATGTGCAAACATGGTCATACACCAACAAGCATCAAGAGTTTTCAGGGGACCATGACTCTCATAATGGACAAAATAATGCCCTGGAAATTGATCATAAAGTGGTGAGTATGTGAAATCTCTCAGAGAATTCAAAATATTTTTAACATGTTCCTACCAGCTTGAACTACCTGTGGTACAGGCATGACTGTCCTAATGAGCAGCTTTACTACTGGTGGTCACTTTTATCAATCTTTTTGCACAAAATTAATAAAAAGTCTATAAGTAGACTAAATCTAGTTAGGTGCTTGAATGTGAAAAATTACTGTCTAGATATAAACACTCCTTGATTAGCAAGATGCCTGTTTAACAACTGTTTGGACTTACAACTGAGGTGTGTCATTCAGACTTATGACCCACTGATTGGATTCACAGCCATCCTTATTTTTGTACAGTTTCACATAACTTTTTTATAGCACTTCAGCATCTTTTGTACGTTGTATGGTACGGTACTGTAATTTTTGCTGGTTGTATTACACAGTACTGTAGTTTTATCTTCTATTACTATACTGCATATAAGAGTTATGCAAGTAAAAATAAGGTGCCAAGTTGGAATTTCCTTTGACGATTTCTTTGTTCTAAATATTGTAATGTATATACTATCTATAATTTCTCACTTAGTAGTGAAAGATTCACTTACCAACCTTGTTGCAGGAATGAATGAAACTTGATCATTAAATGAGAAATATCTGATTACTATTCAAACAACTTAAAACGTTATTGCAATAATCAACAACTTTTTAGTAATTTGTTCTCATGGCATTTCTTCATAGGTTAATAGTTTATCAATAATTAATTGTCTAAATTTTAACATGGGACTCTTACAATTGCTCATTTTTGTTGTGTGTAATATGTATTGACAACTACTGTATCCCAAGTTAGTTGTATTACAATGTTTTATATCCTTTTAATGTTTTCCGTAAACAACTGAGATAGCATAACACATGGTCTGCTAAATTATCATAATTCTCTGTAGTCAAAGAGCCCCTGAGATGTGACACAAGCCACTTGATGGGACAGTCATACATGTACTATCAGTGCTTCAAGCCAGCAAGTACAATCAAATTCAAATCAAAACTGCCTAGGAGCACAACATAAAAATTATAGTCCTGTGGTGAATATGTTAAAGAAATTCAGCGAACTTCAAGAAAACACAGAGAAACAATTCAGTAATGTATCATGGAAACAGAAAGATTTAAATAAGTTTTTAAAACTCAGAATAAAACTCTGAAGCTGAAAAGTACAATAAGTGAAATGAAAAAATGCTATGGAAAAAATCAGTAGGAGATATAAAGCAGAAGAAATTTCAATTATATTAAATACAGACTATTTTAAAATATGCAGAGAATAAAAGAGAGAAGAAATGAAAATGAATGAACAGAGCTTACAGGCACCATGAGCAGCATCTAAAGAATAAATTCAAAAAGAATTTAAGAATGTCAAAGAGGTACAAGGTTTATTCAAAGAAATAATAAGACAAAGTACTCAAACTTAGAGAAGACTGCAGTAAGGTTAGTCAGATACAGTACAGCAAGGCCAATCAGATTCAACCCAACAAAGTCTAACCAAGATAAATTACAGTCAAGCTTTCAAATGTTGAATACAAAGCAAAGACTGTACAAACAGCAAGACAAAAGAAACAAATAACATATACGGGTACTCCAATTCACAGAGGGGTAGATTTATCAGTAGAAGTATCAATATCTGAAAAGCTAGGAGGGATTAGAGCATATACTCACAACCCTGAGAGAAAAACACTGCCAATCGAGAAATCTGTAGCAGCACAGTTGCACTTCAGAAATGAAGGAGAATAAAGATATTTCTAGATAAACAAAAGCCATGAGAATTTATCTCCAGTAAGTCTGTCTTACAATCAATATTAAAGAAACATGAAAAACTTTGAAAATTATAAAGATACAAAGAAGTTAAACAACATATTCTCAACAAGCAATAGATCCATAAAGAAATTAAAAAGAAAATTTTAAAAGTTCTTAAAAAAATGATAATGAAAACCTAACATACCAGAACTATAGGATATAATGAAAGCAGTTTTAAGGAGGATGTTTATAAAACTACTCTCCTCCATCAAAAAAGTAGAAATATCTCAAATAAACAACATATCATTGCATCTGTTTTAACTAGTAAAACAAAAACAAATGAATCCAAAATCAGAAAAAGATATATAGTAAATATCAGAGCCAAAATTAAATCAAAACTAGAAATTTTCAGACCTGAGAAAGAAGACTTAGTTTTCTAAAAAGATAAAATTGTCAAATACTTGGCTAGATTGACTAAGAAAAAAAGAGAAGATCCAATATATAAAAATCAGAAACAAGAGAAGACATAAAAATTAATACGACATAAACACAAAGTATCATTAGGGACTGTTATTAAAAAAAACTACCTGAAAAAAAGTTTGGCAAGCACAAGAAATGGAAAAATTTCTGGACATACATTCTGCCAAGATTAGAGCATGAAGAAATAGAAAAACTGAACAGAGCAATAATGAGTAGTGAGATTGATTTAGTAATGAATTTCTCATCAAAGAAAAGCCTAGAACCAAAGGGCTTCCCTGCAAATGTTTTAAAACATTTTTAAAAAGCTAATACCAATTCTTCTTAAATTACATGAAAAATGAAGTGGAGAGGATAATATAAGGATAATGTCATCTTGACACCAAAGCTAGTCAAAATAACAGCCACAGCAGCAACAAAGGAATTATAGGCCAATATCTGAAAAGAAGAGAAGTAAAAATCCTCAACAAAGTATTATCAAATCAAATCCAACAGTTCATTAGGATCATTCAATATTATCAGTTGTGACTCATCCCAAGGAGGCAAGAATGGTCCAACATATGCAAATTCATAAACAGAATATACACTTCATTAACAGAACAATACAAAAAATTATATGGTTATCTCAATTGATGAAAGAAGAGACAAAGTTTAACACCCTTTCATGATAAGGACTGTTGACTAAGTATAAAAGGAATGCACCTCAACCTACTCAAGTCCACATATAATAAACTCACAGCTAATATCATGCCAAATGGGGAAAATTTGAAGGTTCTCTCTGACATGTGGAAGAATAAGAAAATTATACCAACTTTCATCACTTTTATTCATTAGAAAACTGGAAATTCCAGCTAGAGAAAGAAAGAAAGAAAGAAAAGAAAGAAAGAAAGAAAGAAAGAAAGAAAGAAAGAAAGAAAGAAAGAATATATACAGAAAGGGGGAGTGATAAAGGGAAAGAGGAAGAAAAAAGGAAGAGAGGAAAGAAGGAAAGGCAAACATGCAAAATTTTCAGGAGAAAGTCAAAATGTTACTGTTTGTAGATGACATGATCTTATTTCCAGAAAATCTAAAACTTCCACCAAAAATAATGGAAATATTAAAAATATCAATAAAGTTATAGGGTCAACATAAACATAAAAATCAGTAGCATTTCTTAATACCAATGATCTGAAAAAGAAATCAAGAAAGCAATTTGATTCACAGCTATAAAATGTCTCAGAATAAATTAAACCAAGGAAAACTATAAAACATTGATAAAATACATTGAATAGGACAAAACAGTGAAAAGACATCTTGGATTCATGGATTAGAAGAATCAACATGGTTAAACTGTCCATGATACCCCAACATGACCTACAGGTTGAATGGAGTGTTAATGATTTTCTTCACAGAAACAGAATTCCTAAAATTGTTTGGAGTTCATGAAAGCAGCAGAATAACCAAAGAAATTTTTAGCAAAAATAAAACAAGGCAGAATATTACTTCAAAATATCAAATAAAGTTACAATAATAGACAATATGCCATTGGTGTAAAAAACTGACTCATAGATGCACAGAATAGAATAGGTAACTAATAAATTGATCCACATATTTATAGTCAACTGATTTTTAAAGAAAGCACTAAGGATATGTTGAGAGTCTTTCAGAAAGAATGTAAGCGATTGACACTATTTTTTTTCGTCTTGCCATACATAAAAATCAACTAAAAAATGTATCAAGATATAGATGTAAGATCTGAAACTATTAAATGAATGGAAAAAAATACAAAAAAATCGTAATAATGTTGGAACCGATAAGACACCAAAAGCACAGGCACTAAAACAAATGGGATTGCATTAGAATAAGAAGTTTCTACACAGAAAAAGTAGCAATGAGCAATTTACTGAATAGGAGGAAATATTTGCTAACTGTACCTCTGACTAGATATCAGTACCAACAAAAATAACAATTTAAAATGACCATCGGTCTAAAGAGACATTTCCCCAAAGACGACATCCAAATGGCCAATAAATGAAAGCAGCATATCAAAGAGACACATTTACCGCATGTCTAAGTTTATAACCTGGTATCCATCGACTAACAAATGGGTGAGAAAATATGCTGCACATACACAGTGGAACACATCACAGTCATAAAAACGGATGAAGTCCTGCAGTTTGCAGCAGTACAGATGAAAATGGACATCACTGTGTTAAATAAAGTAATCCAGACACTGGAAAGCAAATATCATGTAATATTACCCATACAAAATGCACAGAAGTTAAGGGAAGAATACTGGTGTCCCCGAAGTAAGAATAGGGATGAAGGAGAGATGAGCAAAGGCTGCGTACTTAGTTACAACTGGATAAGAAATAAGTTCTGCAGTGTTATTGTACACAGACACTAATGCCCACACACCATATATTTCAACAATAATAAAAGAACGGAATTTAATGTTTTTTCGCAAAGAAATGATAAATGTTTCAAGAGATACATGCATGGTTAAGACTGTCAGTTTGACTGAATTAAGAGACTCCTGGGTCATGATTGGATTGCAGAGGTGTATTCTCAGCAGGGGACTGATCTGTTGTCCATAGTTGAATGTGCTGAGCTGAGGATTTGCCTTGAAGAGTATGTTTCTCATCGGTGGTGTTCTCCTGTGGTCTTATTCCCTGTCACGATGAAGTGACAGCTTTGCTCTACCAAGCTCTTCTGCCATGATGTTTGTTCCTTAGAGCCAGCAAGCCATACATTGAACTCTCTGAACCCATGACTCAAATTAAGCCTCGTCTTTAAGTTCCAAGTGTCACATATTTTGTGCCAGCACTAGGAAGCTGACCAATACATCCTGGTTTGAACATTACATGTGTATGCATGCATTGAAATATCATATAGTACACCATAAATATGTATCATTTTACATATTAAAAAGAAAAGAAACCAAGGTAAAAAGTATACCAAGCACTGTTTGTTTCAGTTCCTATTACTTAACTTGCCTTTGAACATTTCTTCATTAGAAGTTTTTAAAATGAGATGTTGATTTTGCAGTGTTGGGCTATGTAGTTTACACTCACTTTCCTCTGACAACAATTAGAAAAACAAAATGGAGGAAAACCACAAAATATTAAGAAGCCAAGATTTTAATTCTCTTAGTTGTTCTTTTAGTGAGATATGTCTGGAGAATAGAACCATTTTTTCTAAGAAGGATGTATAAATTTCAGAGCTGCACTCTAAACCAAGACCTGACTAGTTATGTCAATACTGAAACCTTGAATGGTAATAACAACATAAAACAATAATAACAATACTAATAATAGTAAAATGGAATTTAAGACATAAAATTGAAACACAAAAAAAGCATATTGGTGAGGTAGAAATCAGCCAAGTTAAAGATTTCTAAAGGTTTACATTCCCTGGGAAGAAGCAAAGGTATGTCATAGCAGCAAAAAGGTAAAAAGTGTAGAAAATACAAACAAATATGAGTTGCAGATAGAAAAATTAAAAATCAAGCAAGCAAAATGAATAACAAGATAAAGAGGGAGAAAATATTATATACATAGAAGGTATGAATTCCAATATACTAACAATTATAATTAACTTCACAGATTAAATGCTCTAAACAAATCATGAAAATTTTAAAACAATTTAATATTATATTTACTCTTTTAAGACACATTTCAAATACAAAATTACTTAAAAGTTAAAATTTATTAGACTAAAGACAATAAACTATGCTAACACAAATTCAATAAGACTGTGACCTATATTAACATAAAAGTGGAAGCTAACCATAAAACAACTGTGATAATAGTCATTTCATAGTAAAGGTCTAATTCACCAGTGAAATATAGATTTCTAAACTTTTGTGCATCTAAAAATGACTCAAAATATGAAAAGAAAAAATGGTTTAAAATAAACTGAAAAGGTAACAAACTAATTCTTAGTGAAATGTCACTCTCTATTGTTATCAGTGCAAATAATCAATATAAATAAAGATTTAGATTGAAATAACACTGAAACAAATCAAATCTAATTGACAAACATGAAATATTGAAACCACACTTTCAAAATATGCATATTTTGAAACATACACTAAACATTCCAAAAATTTCTATACATAGCTCAAAGAATAGAGTCCCAGAACATTTCAAGGATTATGGTCAACATTTTAGACACAAACACATATACCCCACAACCACCACCACTATCCAAAAAAAAGTTTAAATTCTCTTACTTTCACACCCTTTGGAAATTGCCCACTTCAAATTTTCTTGACAAGTGACAGTCCGAGGCTCATTTGGAGTTGGTCGATAGCCTGTCTTGCAATCATATTTCAACAGTGAGCCAATCTCAAATATTTCTTGATTCTTTAGGCTAAGTACATTTCTCTCCCAGGAAATATAAGGGACTTCTGGTAAGTCAATACAACCGTCTGAACATAAGGAGATTGAGAAGGAGAAAGAAAACTGTCACTGGAGTTGGCAGAGCAAGCCATGTCACTGGTACACTAAAACGATATTATATCCATTCAGCAAGAAAGCAATGACAGAGACATCTGGGAACACCAAGAAGACTTGGCACCCTCACTGGCACATAGACTGCTGTGAAGCACTGCGCACCTGCGGCTCTGGGGAGGCTGCCATGAGGGACAGGGCACAATGCAGGCAGCAGATATTTTCAAGTGTGGGTCCAACCATATGACACCTTGCTTCTACCTCTCTGAAAGTAGCATGGCCCAACTTCAGGGCAGGCATTAGGAGCCCTGCTCCTGGACCATACTAACTCGCAGATCTCTTTGCCAAATGGGGAATTAAAATAAGAGACATCCCCCTTGACATTACTGCACTGTCACCACCTAGAACTGCAGAAGTGGTGCTGAGCAAAGCCCCTTGAAACATTTGCACGTTAGCCTTCAGTCTCGCATTTTTGTATACTTAATCACACACTAATGGTTCATGTAAAAATAAAGGGAGCACACATCGGTCAAGTCACCCGTGTATTAAACTTTGTCATTACACATTTAAATAATATCTAAATTCTTGTCAAGACAGAAGGACATAGATAAGCTACAACATGTTAGCTATGTGACCTTGTGATAGTTAATGTCTCTGTGTTTTTATCCTTGAAATCGATAGAGCAGCTATCTCTTAGATATGATGTAAATATTGAATGATTTAGTTAATATAAAACTTTTAGAACAGTGTTCAATGTATAGGAAGGTTTAAATAAAATTTTAGCAATAAGTATAATTAGGGTTAGGAGTGAGCTGTACATATTTATAACATCAGCTCATGGAACACCTTTGTACCAGTTAGAAAAAGGAGCTGTCTAAAAGGAATTTGACTTTTATCTTCCAACAAATGCTCATAATTTATGAGTTTTTGTTAAGATGAGGAACTTTTCCATTTGGCTATCTGAAAACTTTGTAACAAATATATAATCTACAAAATCAGCAAAATCACTGGTGTGACAAGTATATGATATACACAAAATCTTTCAAATAATGCTAAAAGTTTCTAACAAAAAACTGGGGGAAATGTCCATTTCATGTGCATGATTATTGGGATTACGGTGGCCCTGTATCTATGATCGACATAATTTAAATGTCACTGCTGGTGAAGCTATGGCAGCTCACTCACAGTCTATACTCACTGGGCTCGCAGGTGGGAATAGAAGGGTACCACTTGCTATTCGCTTCACAGTGGATTATACTGCTGCCCCTGAGGATGTAACCTTTCTTGCAACTAATCACAAGAGTGTCTTTGTAAGTGTAGTAGAATCCAAATCCAGAGAGAAATATCCCCTTTGGAATATGTGGCTGGCGACAGATGACTTCTAAAGAAGCATTGAAAAAGGCATTTGAGTATAAAAAGAAATGAAAATAAAGATACGACTATAAATGTTGGTATAGCCCCAAGGAAGACCTGATACAAATTTACCCCAAGTAGGCACAAAACAAACATTTTAGGCAGAGTCTGATATGTTCTTTCATTCCTTGGGTTTGGGTACTGAGGATACATTATATTGGCCATTATAGATAAAGTCCTCTAAGCTTGTCTTCAACAAAATCTGGCAAAGTCTAAACCTTGAATTCAGAAACACATAAGCCTCAAATGGTTATAATGACCATGACACAGATCACTGCCAGGTCAAAGAGTTTAAGAACCAGGAACTGATCTTCACTCTCTGCCCTGCTGAACTGATTGTGGAAGTTTTGACAGAGGTGTCAGAAGATCTAAACCGTCCTGGTTAACACTGACTAACATGCCCTGGGGAGATAACAATGCTAGCAGAGCACCAGGGAGGAGCTTTAAAATCATTTTTCTGTAAAAAACCACAGGAGATTTTGCTGTGGTTGTTATTACAGCATAACTTGTTATCCTAATTAATACAACATGCAGTAAGATGAATTGAACAAATGAATTACTTCTTGTTGCAAGGCTGAATTTGTGGTTACATCATTCCATTTATTCCGTAATATAACCTTTTTCTCTTAATAAAGGAGTACACTTCAAATGCATCAACATCACTTACTTTCACAGGTCGGAGGGTTTGAACTCCAGACACCTACTGTTTTATTCGCCACCAGACAGGAAATAGAGGCATTGCCTAAGAGTGAGTAGTTGGGGTCACAGACATAGGTGACCAAGGAGCCATATGTGTAGAGGTCTTCATCTGTACCGCTGTGTTTCCCATTGCTGATGTCTGGAGGGGAATCACATTTGACAACTGAAATGAAGAAGTGGACAGAAAAAAATCATCAACGAGGGCATCATCGCAGATCTAAAATTCCTGCAAATTCATGGGAAGGATCTGTAAGGCCATGGAGATACCCAGAAATAGTGTGTCTAATACAGTTTACGTGTATAATTATGACAGAAAAGAATCTTTACTTACTTACGCATTCTGGGAGAGGATCACTCCAGTCAACTGTTTTACCTTGGCTCTCACATTGACTAGTTGTTGAGCCAATTAGGCTATATCTGAAAGGGTAGATCAAACGTTTCAATGGAATTTATGTCATAATAAATGAATGCTCATGAAATTTTCAACAAATGGGATTTTTTCAGAGTTGTATTCATTTATTCATTTGTATGTGTTAGTTACACACACTTCATTTTGGCATATTTGTACACGCATACAGATACTTTAATCATTCCCCATTCCTCCTTCCTCTGAACCTGTCTCTTCTCCAGATCTCCTCCAGCTTCTCTAATAGACTCCTTTATAATTTTTTTTTTGTACTGGGAATGGAACTCACAACCTCATGCTTGCCAGGCAGGTGCTTATGCCACTGAGCTAAATCTCCAGCCCTTCTCTTCTACTTTTAGCTCATATTTCCTTACACAGGAAAACATGAACATTGATGCTCTGAGCCTGATTTCACTTGACATGATAATTTCCAGTTCCTCATATTTTTCTGGAAGTAACACAGTTTCACTTTTCTTTATTGCTGAATAATGTAATTGTGTGTATATACCATATTTGGTATATGTGTATGGTATATATAGGTATATACCATACCTATTTGTCTGTTGAGAATTGTGTTGCAAAAAAAATGAGTATTCATGTATCTCTAACTATTCTGACTTTAATTCTCCTAAGAATATACCAAAGAGTGGTATAGTTTAATCAAATTGTAGCTTATTTTTTGCATCCTTTATGATAGCTGTTTTGATCGGAGTAAGATGAAACCTCAATGCAGTTTTGACTTGCATTTGCCCAGTGGCTAAAGAAACTCAACAATTTCCCCTTATATTTATTGGACATTTGTACTTATTTTGTTTTATTTGACACTGGCAGTCGAACTGAGGACCTTGCACTTGCCAGGCAGGCGCTGTGCCACTGGGCTACATCCACTTCCCTGCACTTATTTTTTTAAAAATGATCAATTCATTTGCCCATCTAATAACTGGGCTACTTGAGAGCTTTTGATGATAATTTTTTAGTTCATTTCATATTTATATATTAGCTCTCTAATATCTAATATTGCTATTATTTTCTGTGCTATTGGAGTCTCATTTATTTGCGTGGGTCTATGAATTCAATTTTCCCTCATGTTTTCTTTTAGACATTTCAGGTATTATATTTAAGTTTTTGATCCATTTTGAGTTGTCTTTTGTGAAGGGTGAAAAGTAAAGGCCTAATTTCAATTTTCTATATGTGGATATCCAGTTTTTCCAATACTATATATTTAAAAGGCTGTCTTTTTTCCAATTTATATTTTTTGATGCTTTGTCAAGAATCAGATGACTGCAGTTACATAGACTTCTTTCTATACCCTCTATTCTATTGGTCTACATGTCTATTTTTGTGCCATATTTTTATGTTACTACAACATTGTAGTATATTTTGAAATAGAAAATCATCCCTCTTTGTCTTCTTCAATGTCTTTCTTCATTGTTCTTAATTTTTATTGGGGAGGTCATTCACCTCCTTAGTCATGTTTATCAGTAAGTACTATATTTTTTGCCCTGTTGTGATTGGTATTATTTTCTTGATTTATTTCTCAGAAGGGTAACTATTGGTATATATAAATGCTATTGATTTTTATGTTAATTTTGTATCCTACCACTTTGCTGAATTTAAATCAGATTCAAAATTATGGTGGAGTTTTAGCATCTTCTAGGTTAAGGGTCATGTCATCTGCACAGAGTAATAATGTAATTTCTTTCCTTATTTGTATCCCTTTTTTTCTCTTGGTCTGGCTGAAATTTGAAGTATAGAAATGATGAAAGTGGACATCCTTGTATCATTATTGATTTTAGAGGAAATATTTTCAATTTTTATACATTCTGTGAAATGTTGCTTGTGGGCTTGTCATACACAGCCTTAATTACATTGAGGTAAGATATAAATTCTATATCTCATTTCTTCAGGGTTTTATCATGAAGTAGTGCTAATTTTGCCCACAAATTTTTTCTACATCTATTGAAAGGTGACATTGTTTTATCTTTGATTTTAGATCATGTATTGCATTTATTGATTTAAGTACATTGAATTATCTTTCCACTGCTGGGATGAAGCCAACTTGATTATATTGTATGGTCCTTTTAATGTGTTTTTTGATTCTGTTTGCAAGAGTTTTGATGATTTTTGTCTGTTTATCAATGATATTGGTCTATTATTTTTTCATCAATATCAGAATTATGTTGGATTTGTGTAATGAGTTTGGAAGTGCTCTTTCCCTTTCTGTCAGAGAATAGCTTGAGGACAACTGCTGTTAATTCTTTTTTTAAAGACCTGGTAAAATTACGCAATCATCCAGTCTTGACTTTTCTTTGTTTGGAGATAATAATAAATATATAATATAAATATAAATAATAAATATATTTTATTACTACCTCAATATTATTGCTTAATATTATTGCTTAAATATTTTATGTACACTTGGTCAAGTTTGAGAGGTCACATGTATCTAGAAATTTATCAGCTTTTTCTAGATTTTTCAATTCATCATAATATAAACATTTAAAATAGTTACTAATAATCTAACAAATTTCAGTGATATAACAGGTAATACTGTCTTTCTTAGTGTCTATTATTTTGGGGCTTCTCTTTCTTTTGGTTAGTTTGGTAAGGTTTTTCAATCCTGTTTATCTCTCCAAATATCCAATTTTTCTTTCATTGATCCCTTGTATTGTACTTTTAGTCTCCATTGCGTTAAACTCAGATCTTATTTTTATTATTTCTTTCCTCCTGTGGGTTTGGAGTGTGTCTGAAGGGCACGGTGAGATTTCCCAAGCATTCTTCTCACTTTCTCTGCTTCCTAGTTGCCAGGAAGTGAGCATATTTGCTTCCCTACCATGATATTCTGCCTCTCCAAAGACCCAAAGCAATGAGACTAAGCAACCCTGACTGAAACCACAAGTCAAAGTAAGTTATTCTTTTTTTTAATTTTTGATCTCAGGTATTTTGCAACAGCAATGAGATATTAGTTCAATATTCATGAACACACACAAAATGAATGAACCCTTGGAATGTGAAGATCAAAGATCACAAATATGTATTTGTGTTAGTTCTGGCTGCTATAATAGAATGTGAAAGACAGCGTAGGTTAAACAATAGAAATGTCATCCTCATAGTTAAGTGACTGCAAAGTTTGTGCGAATGGTACCAGATGGTTGGGTTCTTGTGCAGGATTTCTTCTTGGTTTTCAAATGGTTAATCTTCTGTCGTAACCTCATAGGTACAGAAAATGGGCTTCTTTAAAAGTAAGGAAATCCTTCATAAGGGCCTCATTCTTATGACTAGTGAATCCCTAAAGAGTCTCACCTCCAAATATAATCACATGGCAAATTAAAACACAAGTTTTGGGAACACAAACAACAATCAGTTGTAGAAGATCAAGTGGACAGCTCTCCCTGAATGCAGAACTATTATCTCTGCGTTAATCAACCTGGGCCCTGTCTCCATGTACTGATATGTACAGAGTTGGCTAAGCTATTTCCTTCTCCCTTCAGTTGGCTTTAAGCGATGCAAATAAGGCTGGTTGAGGATATATAATCTTTGTGGCCAACTGATAGTGTCCTGTGTCCTCACATCGTGTTCCTCATAAACAGCTGAACACAGTGGAATGACAGAGCCATATATCTCCAGGAATGCCAACCAGGTACAAGCTTCAGTTTAAGAGGCTATGACTTCCCAGCACACAAAAGCTTGTCAGAAACTAAAGCATTCATTCAAATGCTACCTCGATTGAGTTATGCAAACTGGTCTTTCTGCATGCTGTCCTCTCTGCATTTTACAGAGGTGCTTGCTCTCCACCTGGCCAGCTCAGCTCATATTGCTCACATAATTCCTGCCAATCTCTTCATCCTTCATCCTTCAATCAATCCCATCTTCACGAGATAATAAACTATGGGGGAAGTTTTGAATCAAGGCCTTTGTTCTGAGTATTCGCACCTGGATTGGACTCAGGACCTTTTGACTGCCTGTAACTTTAACTTCTTAGTGTTTTTATTCTTGCCATGGGTTGCACTGAAGGTGTTACACTGGAATTAACTTGCCAATAATTCAGCACAAAATTAGCACTACTTCATGATAAAACCCTGAAGGATTCCAATAATATTTCAATGAGATTACAAATATAAACTTTCTGGACCACAAAGAGGACAAAATAAGGGATTACAATCTTAGAAGGAATTATTATTGAGATTACAATATTGGGTTTACAATATTCAGTCATTGTAATTTTGTCAAGAGATTAAAAAAGTGAAAGTAAAAAATGCAAAACAATTTATGCTGTCAGATATCTAGTATGTAAAAAAAATCAATACTGATAAAAAATATTGGTGCTCATTTGTGTTGACTTCAGTCTCCTTAGAGGATACATCAGAAACTATTAAAAGTTACTTCCTGTCAGAAGGCAGAGAAGAACTGCATAAATGCAGTTCAGAAGAAATGAGAATTTGTTTTTGAGACACCATTTCTATAACCTGGTAAGTTGCCCAGAACAAACTCACATTCGCAGTCCTCTTAGAGTGCTCAGACAAAAGGCTCCCATGAGCTACCACGCCTGGATACAGTTTTGTTCTTGAAACATACAAATGTATTAACCCCATGCAAAAATTAACTACAAAAATAATCTTCTAGTTTTCTTTCTACTCACCCCTTTGAACAGCTGAATTCTATGGTTGAACCAAAGAGCAGATCAGTTATAATTTCTACTTTCCCGTTGGCTAACTCTCCTGGGTTTCTGCATCGCTTCTCTGAAGGAAAATTGAACTGATGATTAGTGGCTACCAGTACACACAACACACAACACTGGAAAAAAAAAGTCTGGTTAATTAACTTTCAGATAGATTCTGAGATATTTTTCAATATACTCATTTAATTTTTAGTATAAGGAGAAATAAAAAGTATAACCCATTTTCTGATATGGTTTTAAAAAGTGAAAAACTGTATCTAATTTCATTTGTTTAATTAAGCTGCTGTGATGATACAGGATGTAGTATATTGACCAGTAATTCACGTAGGTTTGTATCCTCAAAAATGTACATCTTTAGTCACAAAACATAGATCAAAAAAGGAACTAGATTACTGCCTTTGTGTTAGAAAAAAATAGTGTAATGGTGTATGCCCAGTTTTCTTTTTCTAAATATTGTAGGTGACATTAATTTTAAAGACTATTTGCTCAAAGATTATAATATGAATTAAGGAATTTACTAAGTTCTTATGACACTTTTCTGAGGAAAGTAAGGCACAATTGAGAAGAATAAATATTGACAGTTACTGGCACAAAAGACATTGTAGATCCATGATCCATTAATATCACAAATGACGTGACTTGAATTGACTCTCCAGTAGCCGCGGTGGCAGTTGTATTTCAGAGCAGTTCCAGTTCTGAAGTTTGTCTCATAAGACTGTATGACTGGAGAAGCAAATGGCAAGATGGGTGGAGGACCACAGTCACCTGAACACACAAGGGACAAGAACAGCTGAGAGTTACTTTCCAGACAGCATCTCAATACTTACGTAGTAAGATGTTCAGAGCAGTGACCATGGTTCTCTTTATCATGACTTCTTTGGTCCAAAAGTTTAATGAGCACAGTAAGTGATCAATAATGTGTACTTTTTGCTTACTGATAATAACTAATTTTTAAAGGCAAAGACAATTCCATCCATCTTTCCTTGACTAGGTGATAATTCATCAAAAATTGGTGGAGAGATATTAATTTCTTATTCTTTCAGATCGCTCACTTCTGCTTTCCTACTCACAATACAGTCATTTATGCCGTGCAATGTTCTACTACCTCTTCCCTCAGTAAAAATACATCTTTCATTAGCAATAGCATTATATAAGATTAATTGTATCTAGATTTTGAAAAGAGAAGAAATTATCTCAATTATGTTTCCTGGGATTTTTTGCACTTCCATTATATTGCCTACTCAAACATAAACATGTTTCTCAAAAGCATCACAATATGTAGAATATAGCAAACCCCCAAAATAAAAATTCAAGTCTACTTCTCCAGCAAGACACAAACTTTTAAATTCCCTTTCAGAGGCCCCAGCAGAGTTATCTCCATCTGTCTTACATCCTGACCCATCAGCAAAGATGGTTTTGCATTGTCAGGGTCACAGATAATATATTTATTTCACATCATGATTTCTTTGCAGTTAGATCATTTGAGGTCCCTTGAAAAGAAATTCTAAAAGACAGGATCAAGTGTATCTATCAATCTTTTTAAAGGCTTATACCACATTTCCTTAAATTCCTCGTTGTCAAGGACATGCAAAATGTGAAAGGTAGATATTTGTTAGACATCTCTTACAGAAAAGTGTTCAGTGAATCCATTATGAAATGAAACCCCAGCTCCCTTCCATAACTCACCAAGAACAGGAGCCAACAGCACAGCCATCAAAGTAATCTGGAGCAGAGCTGGAGCAGACACTGCCTGCAGCCTAGGGAACATTCTTCTTATCCCCTGTATGGAAAAAAGTCCTCACAAATTATAACTTTAGTTCAGAAATATCAAAAACCCAAAGTGATATATGAAAGTAATGAAATGCATGGTTCCACCTTTGACTCTAAACCCTAAGATATACTAAAATGATTTTTACTATCATCTGCCCTTGTTTATACAAGCTGTCAGCACAAATCCACTGATGGCCAAAGAGTCTTCTTACTACCCTCATGAAGCTGTTAGTGCCCACTTTGCGCAGGATGTTGAGACAGAAGCTTGAGGCTCCTCTCACTGGGCACGCAGAGGCTCACCTCATTTACTGAGCAAGAGCTCAAGTCAGACTCAACTTTTTTAAACTTCTGTGCTGCTGATTGTGACTTCATAAAGTCTCCAAAGAGAAATGGCATGATTTTTACTCAATGTAAGCTTTAAAAATTAGTTCTTCTTAGGGGGGCTGGGGATTTATCTCAGTGGCACAAGTGCCTGCCTGGTAAGTGAGGGGTCACGAATTCAATCCCCAATAGCAAAAAAAAAAAAAATTGTAAAAGATAATTAGTTCTTCTGGATGCCACTTTTTGTGTTCCAATTCACTCAGTTTGTCTCTCTCACTCACTGTTTCCTTTTCTCCCTCCCTTGCTCTCTGTCTCTCTCTTTTTCTCTGTCTCTCTGTCTCTCTGTCTCTCTCTCTCTCTCTCTCTCTCTCTCTCTCTCTCTCTCTCTCTCTCTCTCTCTGTCTCTCTCTCTGCACTAGAAACCTGGTTTTCCTTCCCAGGCCTACTCTCAGAAATTGAAAGTGGATGAGAACATCAACCAAAACACTTACATTTCAAGATCAGTAAAAATAATAAAATTCTAACCTAATATATGACCTATCTCACTGGTAAATACTGTTAGCTCCCCATTCATAATTGTTCAACAAGTAATATAGACTTTCGTGTCACATAACTCATTTTCTTTCTACTATTACTATAACAACAATTCTGAAATTTTATCTAATGAGTCCATATTTGAATCTCTCCTTCCCCCTTCTTCATGTTTTGAATTCTGTGCTCTTCAAAGTGACAACCGCTTTCCCGAAAGTCGTCTGAGTACTTCCATATATCACCAACCTGCAGGTATCTGAACAAGAAGTGGAAGACTCTGTAGCGTTGCCTTGGTTTTGAAGTGCCTTTTATCTCTGGAATTCCTAGCCCCTCCCTAGAACAGTATTTGCTGGAGCATTCTATCCTGCCAGGGAAATGCTCTATGGCAAACCCCAAGTTCCAGCAATGGGATTGGTAGCTGTATGGTTGGGCAAAGATGAATAGGAGTGAATAAAGACTAATTTGTTTTCACTACAAATAATTAACTGGGGAAAAAGAGCTGCAGTGTATATTCACTTTTCTTTCCACAAAGCTAGTCTTCAAATTTTATAAGCTGTCATAGTGTTTATTTTCTCCTTTGCTCCCCTTAACCATAAAGGGCAAGTAGGAAGCTGGATCTCTTGACCTATCTCTCTCTCTCTCTCTCTCTCTCTCTCTCTCTCTCTCACTCACACACACACACACACACACACACACACACACACACTCACGCACACTTACCAACTTCCAGTGTTGCACTAAGTAGTTGGGCCTATCATGGTTGTCCCTGATAAGAATTAAGAAAGAAAATAAGAATTATTTTCTTGTATTAATCACAAAATGTAATAACCATTTCCATAATACTTACATTGTAGAAGTATCATAAGTGATCTACAGATGATTTAAGGTATGTTGGAGAATATGTGCAGGTTATATACAACTATTGTACTACTTTTCATAGTAACTGGAGTATTCTTAGATTGGGCTCCAAAAATCCAATCCTCCTCAGATACTGAGGGAAAATGTTGCACAAAATGTAGAGATGGAAGTGAGGAAAACTAGGTAAAGAGTTCTCTTGGATCAGTGGTCTCACCTTTTCTTTAAAAAGTGAGATCACTCACACCTGACACGCTTAACTCATCAGCATGTGACAGAGCTGAAAGTCTAGCTCTTATAATTGAATTTAAACAACTATAAACAATCCTCCGATTAAGTTTAATCTCACCAGAAGTGTTTCTCATGGAGAATATTAGGACCACAATTTTAGAAAGTGTATCAGTCAGCTTTCATGACTGTCACCAAACGCATGACAAACACAAAGGGGGAAAGGTTTACTTTGGCTCGTGACTTCATTCTAAGGTCAGATAACAAAACCATCATGGTGGAGGGCTTGGTTGAGCAAAACTGATAACTTCATAGTAGCCAGGAAACAATAAGATCAAGAGACAGAGAAAAAGATCACCCTCAGAGGTGTGCCCAAGATGATCTACTTCCTCTACCTAGGCCCCACCTCCTGGCCGCGCATTCTCTAACGTCCCTGCGCATCCGGCCACATCTGTTCACCAGAGACTCTCCATGCTCCAGTGTTCCCATCCTATCTGCAGGCCTACATATTTCGTTGCCAGCTGCAAGTCCCCTCATCCGTGTTCTCAGTGTTCAGTTTCTGCTTGCCTAATGCCTGCAGACCAATTCTGGTCCAACCAACCAGCGACCTTCTCCAGTACCTGGTGAATTACAGCTGCACGTTTTCAAATGAGGTTCAAAGCCCACCTATACAATGTCCTTGCCCTTTTAGAAGTGCTTATTTAACCCCAGGTTTTAGAGATTTTGTTTTCCCAGTATCTTTCTGCAAGTAATTTCAGTCTGATCCCTTTGTAGCAATGGAAAACATTCTGTATGATTTCCAATCCTTTTAATTTGCTGAAATTTGTTTTATGACCCAGGATGTGGTTGTTCTTGGTGTATGTTATTTGAGAATTTGGAACAAATTTGTATTCTGCTGTTGTCAGGAAGAGTTAACTGAATATCAGTTACATACTGTTTTAATTTTAGGAACCAATTAACATTTCGTATTGGTTAATAGTGTTTTGAGGTTCTTCTACATCTTTGCTAATTTTCTGACCAGTTCTTCCATCAGTGAATGGAAGGGATGCTGAGTCTCTAACTGTAATTGTGGATTTATTTATTTTTTCAATTTTAAACAAAAAAGCACGCTCCCTTTGAGTATCTAGAACACCATATAGATTTTTCTCACATTTCCACAGTTACTCTTTTAATTATATTAACCCTTCTTTGTTTCAATATGTGTGTGTAGTTTCTATCTCTTGATCTAAACTATGGGCATATATTCTGATATCATCCAGAATTTGTAATAATCAGATTTTTATTTGATATTTAGACAGATGACATCTAAAGTCTATAGAAAAAATTATAGAAATACATTTTAAAATTACATTAATCCATCCAGATTTTATATATTTAATGAAGGTTAAATTCATTGTATCTTTAAGTCCGTAAACAGACTCATTATCAATATCTGAAAGTCAATTATTTAGTTAAGATGTACAGGAAATGTTACTAGGAATAGTAATAGCTTGATTCACAGAAATTTTAGAAAATTTTTTTTCTTTTTTTGCTTATGCAATCATAAACTAGCTATACACTGAAAATAGACTTTTTCTAGTTATAACTTTTTATGGAACGTCTACCAGTGAGGAATTTGCCTATGGCAGCAGGTGTTTTATAGTTGACTTCTCTTAGGCAGAACTGAATTCCAGGAACTAATGAACATATTCTACATGACTTACTCATAGCGTCATGATTCATCAATAACACAGGCAAATCTCTGAGGAAAAAAAAAATTGAGTTGGTCCTATTGTAAGGAAAAAGATTCCCTGAAGACAAAGAGATGAAGGCTGCTGCTCTGCCTTCTAAGGATAAGTAGGATCACCTCAGGAAAAAAATCTTTCTGGGGTCGACAGTGCAAAGTACTATGGTGGAAATGACCTGAGCCTGAGGAATGCTTAGAGCAGAGAATTCAGAGGTAACCTAAAGGCAGAATCTCGGGCCACCCACTTGGGACCTCTTCTCACTCATTCTTGGACAGAAGCTTTATTTCTCTCACTAAATATATTCTGCTTATAAAAATAAAAAATAGAGAATGTAGAATCGCATCTTCCTTGGTAGAAATTTAAGTTTTAAATTCAAGTTATAAGAGGTCAAAGACTAGAAGATAAAACTCTGGAGAAACCAAATAGCAACACTGCAGACACCAATAAACATTCACACTTAAGTACTCCTCTTCTTACATTGGCCGGGAGACAAGACACCCAAAACTCAGTGGTTTAGGCAGGTAAAAGTTTATTTCTCTATTCCCTCCTTCCCTCAAAAAAACTCATAACACTATTCTCAATGGTCAGCCATTCAGTCATCCACCTACTCTTGGAAAGCCAAGGATAGCTCCTGTTTATTAGTCAGTTCAGCCACTCCCTGCTGCCCTCCAAAAGCTGTCGTCAATATGGCAGAAGTTGGCTTACCAAAACTGGTCATCATTTTGTTCCTCATCAACAGAAAAGAAAAAGTGAAGAACAAGCAACTTCCTTTTGAAAAAAGGTACCCAGAAATTTGCATGCACTGTATTAGGAAGTTACTCAAGAAAAAGTCTAGCTGGGCAGCCCTGCTCATATTTAAAATGATGCAAGTGGTTCTCTACTTAACACAGAGGTTAATGTAGGAGAATAATTTTGAGTTTCTGCTATAGCCACAATTTAATTTTAAAAAGTCTCACTGTTCCAGCTTTCACCTGCTATGTGTTTCAAATTTCACCCAAGTTTTTTCCAGAACCATTGATGGCTACTCCAATCTATACTTAGCAGAGCAAAGGGAAGGTATTTAACACTTCTCAGAAATAGATTCCAATAAAAGACAGTTGAAAGTAGCTGTAAATCCAGCTCCTTGTCCTTACACATTACACTCTGGAGTGTAAATTCAACAGCTTCACTAATTCCCCTTGGGATTAGATGTTGGTCGTTATTACTGCTTTGATAACATATCTTTTTGAGCTGTTTTTCCTTCCCTATCTCCTGCTTCTTTTCTCCTGGTGTTTCCTGCCCATCAAAAACAAACTGCTGACACCTCAATTCTTGTCTCAAGATCTAATGCTAAGGACACTTAAACTAGGATTACAGGAGAGAATCATAGGCTCTAGGAGAAAGACTGAAACATCTTTTGAAATATTTAGGAAGAACTAGGAATAGAAATATAGAAAACAAAGGAAGTGAGCAAACAAATATCACTTAAAGCAGCATTAAGGACCTGAGGAGAGGAGAGAAGAAGAGGGGAGGGGAGGGGAGGGGAGGGGAGGGGAGGGGAGGGGAGGGGAGAAGAGGGGAGGGGAGAGGAGAGGAGAGGAGAGGAGAGGAGAGGAGAGGAGAGGAGAGGAGAGGAGAAGAGGAAAGAGGAAAGGAGAGGAGAAGGGGAGGAGAGGGGAGAGGATGGGAGGAAAGGCAAGGCAAGGCAAGGCAAAGAAGCCAACTAACCAGCCTTTCTGGTAAATCTCACAAGCCACATGGGTTCCAGGAAGAGAAAAGTCAGTGCCTCCCGTGAGCCGACCAGTGCATAGGCTGAGAATCAAACTCCCTCTTGTAAGCAGCTGGCTGGTTTGGAGGACAGGCTGAGTTGACAGCAACTAAGATACATAAAGCAACTAAATGCGGGTATTGTTTGGTTGATTCTGCAGGCCTGAGGCCAGCAGTCTGAGCATCTTTTGAGAGGATGACAGTATGCAATATAATAAATACAGGGGATTTCCTTCTAATCTTGCCTTTGAAATCCAATATTGTTGTCACTGCTTTGTTGTGATCTAATTAATTGTTTTGCTTTATTCAATATTGTTTTGATTGGTTTTATTGTTTTGTTTTTTATTTGATTTTCCCATATCTGATGGAAACTACTGGAGTATAAGCAGGGGCAGGGAAGACTGGCCTCTCCCGTCTGAGCTGGTTAACCACTGGGAATCTTCACCACGTTACTGTGTGTCATGCAGTTGGGGCCAGTTAGGGATAGCTTTAGAGAAAACTCAGCCTTGGCTGTTGGATTGTGCACAGGGGCAGGACTCGGTCCAAGAAATTTTCATCAATCTACTCTGTGCTAGGAGTGGCTGAATGAAGCCAGCTGCAGTTCTGGTTCTGGGTTTATCCTGCCCAACTCCAAAATGGTGCCTGACCAATTGCTCACTCCTACAGGAGGATCATGTCCCCCACATTCACCACTAGCCAGTGCAGTTCTCTGGTCCACTGCTCACCTCTGTGATGCAGATTGGGGAAAGTAAGAATCCTTAGCCATCATGCTTCAGAGTAATTATAAC